GTGCAGTTGAGCCATTAGGCCCTCGTTTTACTCGTTTGACGCTTGTAAAATCTTTTCTCGCCACCCTGATCGAATTTCTGAACACCCTACAATCCAACTGTGTTCTTTTCTTTTCGAGAACAAGCAGGTTCATGTATAGACAGTCATGTGAAATTTCCATATTCTGGAGTTTGTCGAGCCTCATCATGGCAGCAGTGCCTCAAAAAATCTCATTTATGCGGCTTGTTTCAGGTATCAAACTCTTTCTGCCAATGTCTAGCACCCATGAACGAAGCTAAGCATAGGTGCATATATGAATTTGGTGTCAGACTACCTCGCATTACAGCTCAGCTCCCCTTTCATTATCATAGATCGCTTTGGCTCCATTATGATCGCCATCTCCGGATGAACAGAGTGAGCATTTGGACGTTCCACCTGCCATCACTTACATAACATCTGTATCAAGTATCGTTTTTGGAGAGAAATGCCTGGATTTATTGTGACTGATATCATGCATCATTCCAATTCCCAGAAAGTTATAATCTACACTGTTGATTTGTTCTAAAAGGCTTGTCGCTGTGGAAGCCATATTAACGGTTCTAAAACAACTTCATTTTACACAGAGCAGAACGTTCCTCTATTCACATATTAAAGCTCTTCTTTAACTTTCCATCAATGGATGTTTATAAAACTTTTAATTTAGTTGTCAGTTTACTTGCACGAGCAACTATGAGCTTAAAGCATTCGATTTCACTAGAACGTTGTTGCGCTTTTCGTATATGTACTCTCCAGAGCAGTAATCCGTCCATGCATGCATGTACTGAAAATATTTTGCTTTTTATTTCAGATTGGTAACCTTCGCATTTTGTCGTATTATTCCCTTAGCTTCAGCTTGCGTCAAACCCATAATGTACACTTAAACATGCAACGTACTATATACTACAATATACATAAAACATACTACGATAAACCGTGGTATTACTGGAACGGTGGCAGGCAAATCAGTTTCATTCGATAACAGTGCAGAGTGAAATACGAAACAGTTTCAGCCTATACCAGTATAGATGGACGAATTACCACTTTAGAGGTAGTACATATATGCTCCCGCTCATTTTGGTTAAAGATTTTTTGTTTAGAGTTTCTTCTGGCTAAACTGTATGCGTTCTCCTGAAAGGCATGGTCTGTTTTTTGACATCCTATAGCTGCTTTATATCTGAATGTTATGGATGCCATAGTTTTCTTCAGATTTTTCGTCTATTCCATCGTTTATCGATTGAACATAGTTTCGTTTCTCTGCTTCGATTCTAAAATTATGGAATAAAAGAAGACCAGAGGAGTCATTTGCCGGAGTAAATCGAGACTTAAGATCGTGTAGAATCGCCTTGGTCCTGAAGTTCTAGGGTGCCTTACAACGGCTACTAGTTTGTGAGATGTCAGCACTCGCAGTGTGTGAATGGAAACCATGCGATCGGTAGGATCGAACAATAAATCATTCGAAAACTACTAGTCTACTTTCTGTGAAAATGATGTAAAAATATAAATAACGTCTATGCGCCTGAGAATGTCAGATGACCAGTGAATTCTCCAAGACTAGATTTCACGGGATATTTTTCTAGTTGCCTAAGGAAGCCATTTAGACAAAAGAGGGTTTGCGTCATTTTTCACACTCCAACATACGACTATATTTTGATACATATGTGGCAGTACATTGAGAAAACTAGATCTTGAAACATTGTTTGAAATGAGCGTGAGATTGCTATACCGAAAAGAATTATGCGAGGTACATCTGGTACTGCAG